ATAAACCTCAAACTGTAAATAAGTCTAGGGGAGAAGCAAAAAAAAACCATGAAAGTAAAAAAAAAAAAAGAATCATTCATTAATATATCTCATCACAGATTCACACTCACACTCCTAGCTTATCAGGGCTGGAAAAAACCTCAAGTTCTAATCCAACACCCTCATTTTATCTGTAAGTAAACTGAGGCCCAGAGAGGTCAGGTGAGCTAGCTAACAATGCACAGCTTGTTAGTAGAAGAGTCAGGACTGCAAATCCATTCTCTTGACTCTGAATACAATTCTCTTACTATTATATCTTAATGTCTTTAACATTTTAATGGTCCAAGAGAAAGAGCAGAAGAGATGAAAGAAGAGGGGTGAGGAAGGAGAGCAAGAAGGATCCTTCTCTCCCTTTCGGTAAGAGATCTAAAGCATCTTGGAACCCTGCTATATTACCTACCATATGGAGTTGTGCATATCAGAAGATGATCCCTGCACCAACATCCCCCAGCACTCTGTATTCATCTTAGGTCATTTTGTGAAGGAAGTAATAGTTTGGGATGTTTTATGATCAATACCTAGTATAGACTGTGGGGTTAGGAGCTTAGGTAATTCTATAAAAGAAAAGAAAGAGAGTGGCCTGTGAAATGGTGGCCAGGACAGGAGGGTCAGGCATGGAGTTGGGCTCAAACCATTAGGTCTATATACTAATGACTAGTATCTAAATCCATGTTGTCAAGTCCATCCCTCCAAAGGGCTGGAAAGATTTTGGCTCAATTATTGAGACAATTCTATTTCTCCTTTCCTATGTTGACAGTTTTAAAGGTAGAAAATCCAGAAATATGGTAGAAGGAAGCTCCATTTGTGGTTTCATAATTTCTTAATTAGAACCTCTGGTGGTATAGTGCCTAAGGCATTTGACTGCTAACCATTAGTAATAATTAAGTTTCTAACCTCTTAGGAAATGAACCCCCTCTGCCCCTTCACCTTTTTCCAGTACAAACTTTGAATCAGCTTGGGGTTGAGTCTCTCTAACTTGCACAAAATTCTTGGGAGATAGAGCCTTATATAAAGAGCATTACTAAAACCTATGATTTCTACCGGAGCTCTGGTGGCATAGTGCCTAAGGCTTTTTGGGAGCCTCAAACATTTGTTATTTCACTAAGCACTTCAACAAAAGAGAAAAACATAAGTAACTAAATTTTCAATCAAAGAAATATTTACAGTACCTTATTTTCTTCCACTGAAGAAGAACTGGCAATTTATCCCTTGAGTAAGAGATGATGTCTAAAGACTTAGGTAACTTAACTGTAGGGGAAACAAGACTCTAGCTCCTTCCTCTCCTTGGCCCCACCCCTTGATTCCTTTCACAAGCCTGTACACACTCTTCCCTTCAGACTTATCTTGCCCAGAAACTCAGCTAAAAAAGACAAAAAGAAAGACTATCGATATTTTTGCCTGAATTATTGAATTATGCATCTTTTCCATGTCTGTCACCAGGCAGAAACCTGAATTCTGACATATTTTCATTCACACCTTCCTTGCTCAATTGCTTTTCCATGTTTTTCTAGTCTGGTAGCAAGTAGAGTGGTTTTTCCTAGAAGATTTTTTTTTTTTTTTTTTAAAGCAAAAATAGAGTGCTTCAAATTTGTGGGATAGTAATAGCCACCGTAATGAAACACATACTGGTGAAGTATTTACTGCTTAATTTTTAACTTTGTTCTTAGGGTACTAAGAGGAGAGACACTGAGAAGTTCCATTGCTACTTTGTAGAATGTTAGTGTGGAACCCAGAGAGAACTCCCCTCTGAAAGAATTCTCCCCAGCAGCAGGGACAGTGTCTTATTCAAGGCCTCTCTGATCTGAATAGTGACTCTTCCTTTCTGGATCTCTTTATTTCTCCCTGTGTATGTTCCCTCACACTACCTTATTCATCACAAAGGCAAAAGGATAGGTTAATAGCGTCATTTTCTATCATGGTGTGATGTGCACAGGCTTTGGGTGATGCAAACTGTTAACTGATACTAACAGAAAGGTGGGTGGTTCAAGTCCATCCAGACGTGCCTCAAAAGCAGTGCCTGCTGATCTGCTTCTGAAGCCACAGCTGTTGACAGCCCTACGGCGCACAGTTCTACTCCGCTCACACGAGACCTCCATGAGTCAGGATCCACTTGATGGCAGCTTCTTTGAAAAAATGATGTGCCTGAAGGAATGGTGAAGGGTGGGTGGAAGGGGGATGGGAACAGAAGGAAAAGTGCAGAATGGATTAAGGGAGAAGAGGAGTCCTTCTAGGTGAGATGTAATTTGGTATGTTGTCCTTCATGCAGCTTCCATGATGTAGCTCCTCAGGAGAGCACTCAGACCTTCTGCTAACTGGCTTGGAGTTTAGTGTTTAAATGTTGGTGGGGAAGCCAGAGAAATGCTGGACTCTGGATTTCACTCAGGAACAGGACACAGGGCAGAAAACATGCCGGCCTATCTCGTGCTGGGCAGATAGGTTAGCCACGCTACCCAGAACTATCATTAGCTAAAAGGATGCTCTGGACCACCAGATAGGGACACTACCCATCTAATCCACTGGCAGCGGTTCACCACAGCTGACATCTGCTCAGAGTGGAGACAGGCCAACTTATTTATATTATGTTCACAGCATCTGTGTAGATTCTACACAGTCAGCCAAGAAATTCTTCCATCTTCTTTAGAGTCGCAGACTAAATTTTATATATTTTTCTCCAAAACCTTCTCTAGATTCTCAGTTACCTTTGATTAAAATCCCCAAATAGGAACATACTGTCTAGCAGCTGGTATCATTACAGGCACACCTCAGAGATACCACAGGTCTGGTTCCAGACCACCAAATTCAAAGCAAGGCATATGAATGTTTTGGTGTCCCAGTGCATATAAAAGTTATAATTACACTGTACTACAGTCTATTAAATGGCCAATAGCATTATGAAAAAGTTTGAAATATTGTGAGAATTACCAAAATGTGACAGAAACACAAAGTGAGCATATGTTATTGGAAAAATGGTGCCAATAGACTTGCGCAATGCAGGGCTGCCACAGACTTTCAATTTGTAAAAATTGCAGTATCTGGGAAGTTCAATAAAGCAAAACACAATAAAATGAGGTGTGCCTGTGTTTTGCTGACTCTTGGCAGATGGAAAGAGAAAAAGGGGTGACTAACTGTATATGAAGTTAGCCAGACAATACGATTAGCAAAATTTTGTTTGTTGCTGTTATTTCTGGTCTATGTATGTATATACAGCAATATGTGCCTATTTCTACTGGGGTTTAAGGAGCAGAGTTAAATAAAAAGGGACCAGGTATAGGATGTAGAGTTTTTGCTAAGTATTTTTATGATATTTCATGGCTGAAGATGTGAATTTATTACCTATTCAAACAATTTTAGAAGCTTGGAGACTAGCTCCGAGAGCATCATTTTCATCCTAATGGGAGTCCAGAAGAGAATAGATCGAATGGGGCAGGGGCAATTAGGAGATAATGGGTGAAAATTTCCTGAAACTGAAGCAAGATGCAAGTCCCCAGATGGAGAACAGGATACATTTTAAACTAACAATTTGAAAATATCCAAAATGCATGCAATACTAAGAACATCATTAAGAACAAAGAGAAAATTCTTAAAAACACAAAGACTAAGAATTACATTGCTATCAACTTTCCCATAATCATCTTTAGATGCCATGGAGTGAATGACACCACAGTTCTGAAAATTGCTTTAAAACTAGAATTCCATACTCATATTCTAACTAAGAATTAGAGGGAACTACAAATGTTTTAGGGAGCTCTGGTGGCGTAGGGCCTAGGGCACTTGACTACTAACCAGAGGCTGGCGGTTCAAACTCATCAGCCACTCCTCTGAAGGAAGGTTGGGTAGTGATGATACTGCCTCCGAAACCCAAGGAGGGGCGCTATGAGTCGGGGCCGATTCAATGGCATATAAAAACAGCAACAACAGGTGTTTTAGAACTCACAAAGTTCAGAAAGGTACCACCTCCCACTTTGTTAAATGAACCATTAATGTACGGGGGGAGGGGGGAAGGAAAAAGAAAAAAGAACCTTAGACTCAGTAGGAGGATGCAAGAAGTGAGAACTGCCAAGTTTTAAGGATGCCTGACTAGGGGAGAATAAACCACAATTAAACTTTTAAAAAATAAACTGAATATATTTTTGGGATTCTCCATACGTCTTTAACCAGATGACACTATGACAAATTTATTACTGACAAATATAATAGTAATAATAATAATAATAAATCACTGCCATCGAGTCAATTCTGATTCATAACAACCCCCACTGGGTTTCTGAGACAGTTAATCTTTATGGAAGTAGATTGCCCTGTCTTCCTTCTGTGGAGTAGCTGGTGGGTTTGAACTACCAAACTTCTGGTTAGCAGTCAAAGGCCTTAGGCACTGCACCACCAGAGCTCCTTAATAGTAATACTAATCACTAAAAAAAAAAAAAAAAAGTTATTGAGTCTTTCTGACTCATTATGACCCTATAGGACAGAGTAGAACAGTGCCATAGGGTTTCTTAGGCATGTGAAAGCTGGACAATTAATAAGGAAAACATAAGAAGAATTCATGCCTTTGAGATATAGTGTTGAAAAAGAATATTGAATATGTCATGGGCTGCCAAAAGAATGAATAAATCTGTCTTGGAAGAAGTAGAGCGAGAATGCTGCTTAGAAGGGAAGACAGTGAGACTTTGTCTCATGTACTTTAGACATGTTGTCAGAAGGGAGAGGGACATCATGCTTGGTAAAGTACAGGGTCAGTGAAAAAGAGGGTGACCCTCAATGGCGTGGATTGACACAGTGGCTGTAGCAATAAGCTTAAACATAGCCCACTGGGAGGATAGCACAGACTGAGCAGTGTTTCATGCTGTTGCACTAAGTCAGAACAAATTCAACAGAACATAACAAACAATCTTTACAGAAGCAGATGGCCAGGACTTTTCTCCCTTAGAGCTTCTGGTAGCTTCGAGCCACTGACCATTCAGTTAGCACCTGAGCAGTTAACCATTGCTCCACCAGGGATCCTATGGAAAAAGTACTATATCCCATTTTACACTGAAATAAAACTGAAGCAAAATGAAGTGCCATTCCTGGCTCATGTCTGGACCACATGTGAGTGTTAGAACTGGTACTTTGATGGGGTCATAGAGCAACTTCTTCAGCTACCATCTTATAGCAGGCCAATGTGTCCTACCCTTTCATGATAAAGTGTCAATGTCTGGGGATCATTTCCAGTTTCCAGCCACTCTCTGCACCGGGCTCTGCAGCCAGTTCAGTTCCCTAGACCGTCAACATGCCTTAACTCTCACGTCTTAAGTTCTGCTCTGCCTTTGAGCCTTTAACCTCAGTCTTACCCATTAAAAGCCATTCCGTAGTATTCAAAATAAACATTCTTAAAAGGTGCTGTATGCATTTCTTAGGGCTGCCATAACAATGAACCACAAACTGGCAGGCTTAAAACAACAGGGATCCCCCCCCCTCATATTTCTGGAGGCTCAGATATTCAAAATCAAGGTGTTGGCAGGACCACGACCTCTCTGGAGCAGGATCCTGTCTCTTTCTGGCTTCTGTTGTTGCTAGCATTTCCTGGAGTCCCTTGATTTGTAGCTGCATCACTCCAATCTCTACCACCATCTTCACAAGCTTTCTCCTTTTGTGTCTATTTCTTTTCTTCTTCATATAAGGACATCTGGCATATTAGATAAGAAGCCCTGGTGGAGTAGTATTAAAGCATTAGGCTGCTAATCAAGAGGCTGGTGGTTCGATCTCCATGGAAGAGAGATGAGACAATCTGTTTCCATAAAGATTTACAGTTTTGGAACCCCTGTGGAGCAGTTCTACTCTGTCCAATAGGGTCCCTGGGAGTTGGAATTGACTCAATGGCAATGAGTTTGGTCCTTGTGGTTTTGGTCATACTGTATTAGGGCCCACCCTACTCCTGTATGACTTCATGTTAACTATTTACATCTGCAAAGACTCTGCTTCCAGAAAGGACCACGTTCATAGGTAGGGAGATCTGGACTTGAACCTGTTTTTTTAAGAGACACAACTCAATGCACTCCAGGAGCCATCTTGTGATTCTCTTCCCACCCAGATCATCTCTAGTCCTCTGAACTCTCAACTCAATGATTAATCACCTTGATTCTATGTCTGGACCACTGGGCTGGGTCTTTATTCCTGATGTCTCTCAGGTTTAAACACTGCTTTCTCCAGAGGACTCTAACTTAGATTATTCTTCATAATTGTTGTGCATTTTGCTACTGTGAGAAGGCAGATCCATTTTTCACATACGCTTCACCCTCCCAACACTGAGTCTCCTTGCCAGCAGGGTCATTAATCCTTATGCTCCCTTGCCCTATTTTTCCTAGGTTTACATGACTGAGCCATGATGTGTCACTCCTGGACTCAAGACGTAGCAGATCTGCAGATCTTCTGATCTGCAGACCTAACAAAATGACAACAGCAAATGGTTGTAGGGAAACATGTTTATTATATAGTTACATTCTTCAATAAGTTACAGACATATCTATGTGCTATATGCTTCTAGAATTGATTATAATATTAATTTGTGTACTGTTCAATGCTTCTGGGTATTTCTTATGGAAGTGTATAGAAAATCACATACTCATCCTATAAACTCATCATCATAAAAAGTACAAGTTAGTGTAATTTTTAGATAGAAAATTATCTGATCACCTGTTTTTGCAACTTTATCAGTTACATTAAATAATGAATAATAATAATTTCTTAAAAAAACCATTATACATTATATAAAAGAATAAATAACACAATGAAAGTCAATGCTACAAAATGAACTAGTGGGGGGAGAAAGAAATGGGACATCATCCCATTTTAGGGTATCAAGAGATTAATAAGGGTGTCATATTTTGATTGATGAGGTTGTCTACTTATTTATGTGTTTATATTTAGTGTGGTTAATATATCTAGTCAATTTAAATCTGCAAAAATTGCTCAGAAAAACAAAAGTATGAAGGAACATGTCCAACTTTTGGCACTTGAAATAGCAATTCTGCAGCTTACAGTTCATGCTACAAACCACTGTGCAGAAATAGAACCTTTCAATTTTAGGGTGAGGAGAACCTTCCCAAGAAAAGGATGGTCTTGGTCACTCTGTGGCTGATGAAGAAAAGGAAAGGATGATCGGCCACAAACTGTGGGCCTCCATGGCCAGTTCTGCCTGTCATGATGGCTCCGGTGCCAGCAGCAGCTTCCGTACCTTCTTCATCAACATTTATGGCAGCTTGGTGGAACACTTCAGACAGAAACAGATCATTCCCTTCTGACATTCCCAGGAAGTTGGCCTGGCCTCTGCTAAAGGCATCACTCATGCCCATACTACTCAGAATGGGTTTGAGTTCATAATGCTCTTCCAACTTGAACTTGGGTAGGTACACCTCAACATCATCTTCAGCCATTGTGTCTTCGCTGATCCACTTACTGAGTTTGTCATAGGTTATTTCACCTTCCAGCTACAAATCCAAAAATTACTGGTGAATGTTTATTTAAACAAAGGAAAACTATACTATTTAAATCTAATGTTAAAAATTAGTGACTACCATTTTGTGGAT